TTCAAATATTTTGTTTAGAATGTCTGCCTCCATATTCATGAGAGATATTGTTCTGTAGTTTTATTTTCTTGTGATGTCATTGATTTTGTTATGAGAGGAATAGACTAAGTTGGGAAATCTTTCCATGTCTTTTATTTTTTGGAAGTGTTTATAAAGAATTGGAATTAATTTTTCTTTTAAAGTTTGGTAGTTTCTTTTAAAGTTTGGTAGTTTCTTTTAAAGTTTGCTATCTGTGCCAGGGTTTTATTTGTGGGCAGTTTTGTTTTGTTTTGTCTAATCTCTTCCCTTGTTATAGACCTACTCAGATTTTTTACTTTTTCTTGAGTCAGTTTTGGTAGTTTGTGTCTTTGTAAGAAGTCTATTTCATCCAATTTATCTAATATATTGGTGTACAGTCATTTATAGTATTTCATTGTAATCCTTTTTATTTTTCTTAGGTCAGTAGTTATGTCTCCCTTCATTTCTGATTTTAGTAATTTGAATCTTTTCTCTTTTTTCTTGGTCAAATTAAATAAAATTTTGTCAATTATGTTGAGCTTTTAAAAAACCAGCTTTTGGTTTTTCTGTTCTTTTTAGAAATTAATTTTTGCTTTAATCTTTATTTTTCCTTCTTTCTCTTGCTTTATATTTAGTTTGCTATTCTATGTGAAAGGTTAGATTATTGATTTGAGATCTTTTTTTTTTTTAAAGATTTTATTTATTTATTGGAGAGGGAGAGACTGAGAGAGAGAGCACATGAGAGGGGGGAGGGTCGGGAGGGTCAGAGGGAGAAGCAGACTCCCTGCCGAGCAGGGAGCCCGATGCGGGACTCGATTCCGGGTCTCCAGGATCATGACCTGAGCCGAAGGCAGTCGCTTAACCAACTGAGCCACCCAGGCGCCCTGATTTGAGATCTTTTGTCATTTTTAATGTAATCATTCACAGGTATAACTGCTGCATTATTTTGCATTTAGTGACTATTTTCTAATATAGTATTTTAATTCAATTAATGATTTTTAATATATTTTTGGATTTTCTTTAGTGGTTGTTCTAAAGTTTACTATATATGTCTTAAATTATGAAAATCATATTTAATTCCAGTAATATGTTGGTATATTACACCTATATATCTCTATTGCCTCTCCCTCCCTTTTGTTACATTATACATACTACATCTATTAATGTTACAGACCCAACAATTGTTATCCATTGTTATAATCACTACCATCTGTCATCATTTCCTAGTCTATTACAACTTTTCTCCCACCCACTTTCTTTGTATTATTACTGGCAAATACATTGCATGTATGTTGTAAGCCTAAGAATATATTACATACATATAAGCTATACAATTGAATTTCCAATCAGTTTAGAGAAAAGGGAGAGTATTTTTAGTGTCTTTTATAATTACATGAATGTCCTCACCTGTTTGTTTACCTTTGCTCTTGTTTATTCCTGTGTATTCGAATTACCATAGGGGATGAGGTCACTTGCTTTCAGCCTGAAGAAATTAATCTTTAGTATTTGTTGTAAGGTAGATCTGTTAGCATCAAGTTCTTTCAGTTTTTGTTATCTGGAAAGTGTTTATTTCTCCTTCATTTTTAACAATTGCTTTCCTACATATAGAATTCTTCGTTTATAGCTTTTTTTTTGATTACTTTGAATATTCTATCCCACTGTTCTTCTTCCTCCATTGTTTCAGCTGAGAAGTTATCTATTAATCTTGAGATTCCCCCATAAATAATGCTGGTTTTTTTCTTGCTACTTTCAAAATATTCTCCCTATCTTTGACTCAGAACTTTTTTTTTTTTTTTTTTAACTATGCTGTGTCCGTTTATGGGTCTCAGTTTCATTTTGCTTCCTGGATGTGATATAACGGCTTTTAAATAAATTTAGGGAGTTTGCAGCTATTATTTTTTCAAGTATTTTTAATTTCTCTCTCTCTCTCTTCTCTCCTTCTGGAACTCCCATTATGCATATGTTGCTGCACTGAATGGTGTCCCACATTTCTTTGACATTTTGAGGCTCAGTTTTCTTCATTCCTTTGTTTCTCATTGTTCTTCAGCTTTCATAATCTCTATCAATCTATCTTTAAGTTTGTTAATTTTTTCTTCTACCAGTTTAAATCTACCATTCAGCCCCTCTAATAATTTTTTGTTCAGTTACTATGCTTTTAAACTCCAGAATTTCTATTTAGTTCTTTAATTATTTCTATTTCTTAATTGATATTCTCTAATTGATGTGGCATTGTCTTTTACCTTCCTTAAATTCTTTAATTTTGCTTTCCTTTAGTTCTGTGAACACATTTATAATTGTTACTTTAAATTTTTTCCTGTTAAATCTAATATCTGATCACTCTTATGAGTTTCTATTGCCTGCTTTTTTTGTGATGTTTGGGTCATACTTTCCTGTTTCTTTGCATGTCTCATGATTTTTTGTTAGAAAATATTTTAGATGATATATTGTACCAACTTTGAATACTCCCTTCCTCAGGCTGGTTTCTGTTTGGTTCCTGGCTAAATTATTTCAGTGAGGTTGATTCCCTCATCCCCACAGTGTTAAGGCTCTGATATTCTTCCTCAGCGAGGTGCGTCTTTGAGTATTCTCAAATGACATCCACTGGGATGACAGTGGTACTGGGAGGGTTCTCTTAAACTCTTTCCCTGCCCAAACTGAGCCATTAAACATCACCAATTGCCAACTAATTGTTCTACTGTTTTCAACAATATCCTGGGGTATATATTGCTCTTTAAATTAATCTAATCAAACTGTGGTTCCTTGGAAAGAGTAGTTTCTGAGGTGAGTGATATTTGTTCTGACCCCAGCTGTCTTATTCCCAGTTTCTCTCATGTAAACTAGCCAGACTACAGTCTAGGCTCTATCTTCATTAGATAAATGAATCTCCTTCCAGTTTTCTTTTGTCACAGTTGCCACTGTTCTTGAGAGTGTGAGTAGAATTACACTGTTCTACATTGTGTTGCAAATGAAATCAGTTCCTCTGGGGAAAAAAATCAAGAAGTATCTGTTTTATGGTCTGCTTCTTCCTCTAAACAAAATCTCTGAACCAAGATTCTGGACCTGGGGGTAAAGATTATGGCAATCATTTCTCTGTGTGACATTCTCACTCTAGGACCTGAACAGTCAGTGGAGAGAGGTGGTCAGTAGCCTGTTGGTCTTCTCATCTTGCCTCTCCTAGCATGCATCCATTGACTCAAAAATGGGAAGGACTATCAGGGCCCCAGTATTATCATGCCATGCCCAGTGTAGAGCCTCCATTCTATAAGTTGGGATTAGGCAGAAGAAAGGAGCCCTGCCTCTCAATTACACTCCCCTAGGACACAGCAGGCTGAGAAATGCTGAGAGTGTACTTTGGGGTATGAAGCCCTAATGGCTGGGCGCTGAGCAAAGAACAAGTCATGTGTTCTTGGCTTCAGCAGTCTGGAGTTGGAGTTTCTGCCTTACTGAGCAAGAAGGTGGGAGAGAAGGAGCAATCTTGGTTCAAAATAATAGATGCTTACTTTCTTAAAGAATTTCCATAGATTTTCTTAAATAAATATTTTTTTCTTCATTTCTTTTTTCTTTCTTTTTTTATTGCTTTTAGAATAAATAACAGAGGCTTTAAATGGTTGTTTTTTTATAATTTTCACAATTTTCACTGGGTTATGGAACAGTGGCACTCCTGATGTGTGACTGGAAATCAAATTTCATTTTATCATCTTATCTCATTAATTTTACCTACCACTATTATACTATTTATAAATATAGATATAAATATAAATATAAATATTTAGTACCTAAATATGCCACATATGTTCTAATATTTTGAATAATATCATTTATTTTGCTTATTATGTGTCTACCACCCACACACACCAAAATGTAAGCTCCATGAGCCTCAAATTAAAAATCTAGTCTCAGGAAATTTCCTGAGACTTGAGAGAAAGATTGTATCCATGAAACAAAAACAGAATGCAATAAAACAAGAAGTATTAGAGAATAGTAAAAAGTTCCCAAAAATTCAATATATAAAATAAAAAATTAAAAATATCTTGAAAACACTAATTCAAAAAGATATATGCACCCCTATGTTTATTGCAACATTATTTACAATAGCCAAGATAACAAAGTGTCCAATAGATAAATGGATAAAGAAGATGTGGTATATATACACAATGAAATATTAGTCAGCCATAAAAAAAGAATGAAATCTTGCCATTTGTAACAACATGTTTGGATGTGGAGAGTATTATGTTTATTGAAATAAGGCAGTCAGAGAAAAACAAATACTATATGATTTCACTTACATGTGGAATTTAAGAAACAAAACAAATGAACAAAGAAAAAAAGAGATAAAACAAGAAACAGACTCTTAACTATAGACAACAAACTGATGGTTACCAGAAGGGAGGTGGGTGGGGAGATGAGTGAAATAGGTGATGGGGATTGAGGAGGGCACTCATCATGATGAGCACTGAGTAATGAATAGAATTGTTGAATCAATATATAGTATACCTGCAATTAATATAATACTGTATATTAGTTATAGTGGAATTAATTTTTTTTAAATCTTGGAAAATTGTTAAATATAAGTTTAAGATCTCACTACTAGGCAAGTTAATGGAAAATGGAATAGGAAAGATGAAAAAAAATAGAGTATAAATCCATAATATCCTATTGACAACCAGTAAGCTTTTTATGAAGAAATGATCAATGAAATGTTATATTTTTTTCATAATTAAAGAATAATTGTCATTAGATTGAAAGGACATTGAGTTTTAAGGAAATTATTAATATTTTTTTAAAAGTATCCAGGTGAGTCTAGATGACTCAGTCAGTTAAGCATCTGACTCTTGATTTCAGTTCAGGTCATGATCTCAGGGTCATGATATTGAGCCCCATATAGGGCTCCATGCTGGGCACAGAGCCTGCTTAAGATTTTCTCCTCTGCCCCTCCCCCCTTCCTCAAAAGAAAGAAAGAAAGAAAGAAAGAAAGAAAGAAAGAAAGAAAGAAAACATACATCATGTTCACTTGGGCAGCAAATATACTAAAATCGGAACAATACAGAGATTAACATGGCCCCTGCGTAAGGATGACATGCAAACCAATGTACTTCATTATGAAATTTCAGTATATCAAGGATAAAAAAAGTTCTAAAATCTTACAGAAAAAGGAAATAAATGAAGAAAAAAGTCCCACAACCTTAAATCACAAATGGAAATATCATCAGACTTCTCCATGGCACTGTTGGAAGCTAAACAGCATAAGAACAAGGACTTCAAGACTTTGAGTGAAACCGATTTCAGACTAAAATTCTATAACCGCTAACCTAACACATGTGAAGGAAAAAGATAATATCTTCACACATTAAAAAAAAAAATCTAAAACCAAACTAAATAAATAAATAAATAAATAAATGCCTAACTTCCATTCCTACTTTTTTGGAAAGGTTGCTGGAAATATGTCCCATCAAAACAAGAGACTGTATTAAGAAAGTGAATAAATGTGTTCATTTGATAAAAAGAAGGACAGTAAGAGAGAGTCTAAAAATGATAAAAAATCGTATTTAAGAAATTAATCAGGGGGTGCCTGGGTGGCGCAGTTGGTTAAACATCGGACTCTTGGTTTCTGCTCAGGTCCTGATCTAAGGGTCATGAGATGGAGCCCTATGTCCAGCTCCGTGCTTGGCAGGGAGTCTGCTTGAGATTCTCTGCCTCTGCCCCTCCTGCCATTTACACACACACACTCACTCTCTCTCTCTCTCTCAAATAAATAAAATCTTAAAAACAAAAAGAAATGTTATCAGGATGACAGTTGTGCAATAGGCCTGAGCAAAGGCCAATCTAAATTGAAAAAGAAGGATTGTAATTTCTATGAGGGAGGTCTTCGGGAGGAAATTGGAACTGCAACATTTTCAGGTAGGATTGACCATGGGGAAAGTTTTATAAAATTATGAATAAGAAGAAAGAGCAAGGGGTGGCTCAGTCATTAAGCGTCTGCCTTCGGCTTAGGTTATGATCTCAGGGTCCTGGGATCAAGCCCCGCATCGGGCTCCCTGCTCAGCGGGTAGTCTGCTTCTCCCTCTCCCACTCCCCCTGCTTGTGTTCCCTCTCTCACTGTGTCTCTCTCTGTCAAATAAATAAATAAAGTATTAAAAAAAGAAGAAGAAAGAGCAAACTGACAACACTAAGTATGCGCATCTGATGGACTATTATTGAAAATACATAAAGAACTCTTAAAACTCAAAAAAGAAAAAAAAACAATTAAAAAGTGGCCTGACGATCTTAAAAGACACTTCAAAAAAGAAAATATAGAGATGGAAATAAGCATATGAAAAGATGCTCCATAACACAGGTCATCAGAGAAATGCAGATTAAAACAACAATTAGATACCACTACACACCTATTCGAATGAGCAAAAATTCAGAAAATTGACATCAAATGCTGTCAAGAAAGTAGAGCAGCAGGAATTCTCATTCATTGCTGGCGAAAATGCAAAATGGAATTACTACTTTAGAGAACCCTTTGGAAGTTTGTTACAAAATTAAACATATTCTTACCATATGATCCGGCAATTGTACTTCTTGATATTTACCCAAAGGCGTTGAAAACTTATGTCACAAACAAAAACAAAAAAACCTGCACACAGATATTTATAGCAGCTTTATTCATAATTGTCAAAACCTGGATGTCCTTGAGGAGGTGAGTGGATAAATAAGTTCTGATACATGCAGACAATATTCTATTTAGAGCTAGGATGAAATGAGCTATCGAGCCATGAAGAGACATGGAGGAACCTTAAATGACTATTATTAAATGAAAGAAGTCCATCTGAGAAGGCTATGAACTATATGACATTCTGGAAAAGGCAAAACTATGGAAACAGTAAAAAGATCAGCAGTTGCCAAAGGTTGGAATGGTGGGGAGGTAATAATATGTAAATCACAGAGGACTTTTAGGGCAGTGAAAATCCCCTGTATGATACCAGAAAGGACACATGTCATTATACCTTTATCCAAACCCAAAGAATGTCTAACACCAGAAATAAACTGTGATGTTAACTATGATTATGATGTGCCAATCAATGTAGGCTAATCAATTGTAAATAATGTACCATCCTGGTGGGGGATGTTGATAATAGGAGAGGTTATTCATGAGTTGGGGCAAGGAGTATATGGAAACTCTTTGTACCTTTCTCTCAGTTTTGATGTGAACTGAAAACTGCTCTTAAAATAATAAAGTCTTAATATTCTGATAATTGTTAAATAGACAATAATAATAGACTAAATGTCATTAATTAGGTCATTCTAATGGTTCTAAAGACTTAATAATAATAAAATCTTAAAAAACAGTCTGAATCTAAACATAACTGTTCTCTCTGGATTTGTGAATAAATGCATTTTATTTTGTTTAAAAAAATTAATTATGGTCAGAACTTAGAGAAGTGTCTATTGTTTTCAAAAGGAAAAATATTTACAAAGCAGTCAATAGCCTGGTCTACCCCTCTCTTTCACCCACTTCTCTAAGCTTTATTTTTTTAAACTTTTTTTTAAAGATTTTATTTATTTATTTGAGAGAGAGAGAGAGAGCAAGCACAAGCAAGGGAAGAAGGAGAGAGAAAGGGAGAAGCAGACTCTCGGCTGAGCAAGGAGCCGGATGCAGGGCTCGATCTCAGGACTCCACGATCGTTACCTGAGCTGAAGGCAGACGCTTAACTGACTGAGCCACCCAGGTGCCCCGACTTCTTTAAGCTTTAGCCATGCTTCACTTGACTCCGTTTCTCAAACATGTCATGTTCTCTCATTCTTTGGACTTTGCACACACCATTTAAATATTTCTGTAGTGTTTTTGCCACTCTTCCTCCATATGTTCCCATCCTTTTTACTTGAATAACTCCTACTCATTCTTGAGATCTTGGCCTAGATATCTCTTTCCCCTGGAGATGTCTGTGGTATGCTTCCATGGTACCATGTTATGGGTCCTCATTCTCAGATAATTATTGTTTAATTTTCTGTCCTCGCTAACAAAATATTAGATTAATAAGAGTACAATTTTTCACACTTTGCCTGGCACATAGAAGGTGATCAGTAAGTAGTTACTAAGTATATGACTAAGTCTGTGAATGAAACATAGCATATTTAGTGCACTAGGAGGGTAATCCATAAACTGGGGATTTGATCAAAAAATATTTATTATATACAAATAATTTGCAAAGCATGGCAATATAATGGATAAAAAATAATTTTCAAAAGTTTTTCTTCTTTTCCTTCAAGAAGTTTTTACTATGGTGGGAGGGGTGGAGAACAGAAATACTGTTAAAGATTGAAAAATTCAGGTGTAATTTGAGTCAGGACCAGCTACCTTCAAAGATTCTATATTGGCACATGAATATTATGATTCTTAAAAATCCCTCTAATGCTTTTTTTTTTTTTGAGAGAGAGAGAGACTGAGAGCATGGGTGAGGGGCAGAGGGAGAGGAAGAAAGTGAACCTTGAGCCAGCTCCATGCCCAGTGTGGAGACCAACACAGTGCTTGATCTCATGACCCTGAGATCATGACCTCAGCTGAAATCAAGAGTCGGATGCTTAACTGACTGAGCCACCCAGGCGCCCCAAATGTTTTTTATCAGTAAAAACAGCATCCTAAATATGAGACTCTTACACAGTTGTCTTAAATTAGGAGAATAGGTCTATTCTGAAATTAATATGTAAAATTTATTTGGGATAAAAGACAGCATCCATGCATTCCATTGGAAGATAAAAAGTCCACCCTAGTTAAAAAGAATAAGGAAATATAAAGAGCCAACATCCTAGTGGAAATATTTAATGTTTCAACGTTCCTTAGGTTTTGAAAGATAATAAGGAAGGTCTGAAGCACCACAAAGCTGGCCTTCTGCTTAAGTTCCTTTGAAAAGATAAGCTGATACACAAACACCTTTTTGGCCTTTGTCTTTGTCTGAATAAACTACCTTCCTAGACTAATGGTAGGTTACTAAATGTCAGCTTAGCTTTGAGGCAGATTAATTCAGATGGTGTCAACATAAATAGCTGTTGACTTGTGGAAAACCAAATAATTCCAAAACAAAACCAAATATTTTATTGTAGGCAATTTTGCTTTCAGATCATATTTCCTGTGTTATTTTTGCACTGGTTTTTTTTTGTTGTTATTACTATCAATATTTGCATGTAAACAGGATCTCTGTTGCTTAGCAATTCATAATTTCTGTTGTTTCTCCTAAGCTGAAATTGGTTTAGTTCTCTGGTAGGGAAGAGATCTGTTTGACTTCCCTCCCATGTATAAAATGTATACCATTTTCAGGGTGCCTGGGTGGCTCAGTCGTTAAACGTCTGCCTTCGGCTCAGATCATGATCCCCCATGAGCCCACATTGGGCTCCCTGCTTGGCGGGAAGCCTGCTTCTCCCTCTCCCTCTGCTTGTGTTCCCTCTCTCACTGTGTCTCTCTCTGTCAAATAAATAAAATATTTTTTAAAAATGTATCCCATGTTCAAATCTGGACATAAGTCTGTTTCTGGAACAATTCACTCAAATGTTCTTCAGACTTATATTTGTATTCCAATTCTCACTGGAAAGGAGTTGAAAAGATCATTGCATTTGGTTATTGTTACTTCTGCCTCATTTTATTTGTGATGACTCCTTCCTCTCCACTTTCTCTACTGGATCCCCTTCCAAAAACTTCAGAAATCAGATTTGATATGAATGCCTGAAATTGTATTTAAAAAAAAAGTCAAAAACGTTAGAAAACTCCCTTAATGAAATGATCTAAGGATAATTAAGGAGGAGAACTACCAGCAAATTCAGTGTACCTATGCAAATCACTTTATATAAGAAATTTAGTTTAAAAAAAGTCTACACACCAACAATGAACTGAATGGAGGGCTGCAGAATCATGGAAGGCAGCATGTCAGAAACTGCTAACAATAGAATCAGGAAGGTTAAGGCCCAAGAAAACAAAACAGGCTTTTCAAGCTATATTTGGAATAGGAAGATGAATGTGGAAGGTAGCTAGTTGGGCATCATAATATAATGTTATCATAAGGCAGAAAAAAAGGCAAAACTACATAAATAGCATTTTGCTTCCAGAAGAATGGTGCTTAAACTGAAAAAAGA